AAACGTGTTGGCCTTCTATGCTTGGTCCACCAACGAAGCTTTGAACTTTTATTGGCCCGGTTCTTGAAGAAGAGAGCTTTTAGTCTCTAATATGACTAGTTCTAGTATCGCATACCCCAAAGCCCCTTTTCGGATGGTTGGGGCCTATATATCAGGGTGTTTAAGGTGTAGGGCTCTTCCTGGTTATTCTGAAAAACAGTGGTTACCAAGAAGTCCTTATTGCCAAGCCCTTCCCTATAGTCTCTACGTGATTTCTCTTCAAGATACCCCCGAACCCTACCTGTTGCTATAAAAATTGCAACTTCGCTTCCTCAGGTCATGTTCCCACCGGTTATTTGGCACCGGCCGCCTGGGGGCGAGGAGGTGTATGTGATCCTTGGCAAGCCCAAACCGTAAAACCCTCTAAGCCATCAACAAGAAACAAATCAACCCCCTAAACCATTAAACCTAAACCATGGACCATCACAAGCCCCTTGGGTTTAATAGACCTATGGCTTGCTTGGACAAGGTTCCTGGGGTTGTTGTACATCAGTATTATCCTAAACCGTTTAGGGTTTAGGGCAACACCATGTCCCATTGGCCGGGCGAGCTCCAATCAAGCCTGTGTAAAAAAGGGCAACACCATGTCACACTCATATCATATGTCGTTGGCTTTTTTGTGGGAAGACATGCAGGTAGGAAATCTTGACGATGGTATCTTCGTATGCTCCATGGACCTGTGAAAATCTAGGCCCTCCTCGAGTTGCTATGGCCGCTTCATCAAGGCTTGGATCAGGTCCCAAATGGAAGGGCAGTCAGAAGACTTGCAATGCATGTTTGATACTGTTTAGGTGTTTAGGGTGAGTGAGTGAGTGAGTGAGTGAGTGAGTGAGTGAGCGAGCGTCGACCAGCACTTACGGTGCGGCCTGCCTCCCACGTCCCTCTCAACATCTCAGAGGGGCTCCGGAAACGTCATAGCCCCTCTCCGTCACAGAGTTCAAGTGGGGGAGAATTAGCTAATGCAGACAAGTCACTGTTTTAAAGCATGGTGTACGGTGTGCAACCCCCAAAAAACTGAAAAAAACAAGCTTTCCAGATACACCTGGAAAGACTGTTTCAGCGGTCGAGGGACAAGGAGCCAGGAATGAATTGAGTTTGAACGATTCCTTGGCAATCCCGGCATGCACCAAAGCCAAAGAATACAGCAAGTAGTCGACAGACGCAAACAGCATCAAGGGGGCGAAGCCGTGCGACCAGTGCCGAGGGAGCGATGCTCCATGCACAGAGGGCACACACAAGGGCGACCCCAAAGGCGCGCGCCATGTGCCGAGGGAACAGTGTTCCAGCCCCGAGGGCGAGCACGCCATCAAGCAGGTCCAATAAAGTAGTATCACGAGTCATCTAGGCTGCCGCAGCAATAAACGGCACAGAGGCACATCCCTGGAAGAAAGCCGGTGGTAAAAGCGGCAACAAAGCGATCTGTCAAAGCTTGTGGTAAGCGTGGAATACCGCACATATACATAGGACGCCCTCATGCCGTTGACGCCACATGTAGGTGTAGAAAAGAAGCTGACATATACATTGGACGCCGCACGACCGTAACACCATGCAACCAGCATTTCATTCATCTCTGACGAATACATGCCGCACCCAGTAGTAGCAGTAGAAAAGCTGTCGTTTTCATCGTCGTCGTGGTAATCGAAACGAGAGATGGCACATCACCCAGAGACAAGAAAGATGCCGACACACCGATACGTAACGGCACTGTCGCCCTAGTGCCACCAGGTGGGGGAAAGGGGGGTGCTCCTCGAGTCGCCCACGACTCTTAGTGCCGCCCCGGGGGTCCACACCCTTTCCAGCACCAGCCCACCCAGCCGAGACAAGCACTAGGCCCCGGGGAGGTGTTTAGGGTTACTTTTCTAGGGATCTTCAAAAATACACTTTGTGCTTGCCGTCTAGGGGAAATGGGGGACAGGCAGGGTACCTTTTGTTTTTTTGGAGAAATTCAACAATTCGGAAATCCTGATATGCCCTCAAGCCCTGAACGATAGTCAGCCCACGCCGCTTAATCGAACTCCAGGGGCAATACCACTTTCTTCGTCAAACCCTAAACCCTAAACCCTAAACCCATGCGCTGTAAGAATGAAGACACTCCAAAGTTTCAGTTATTAAGATCCCTATCTCACAGCACGAACATCCTCTAAAGGCGCCTTGGGCCCTTTATATCCTAGAACCCTAAGCACCGAAATCCTAGAACCAGAAAACCCTTGAATCCTTGAACCCCGAAGCCCTCACACCTATGGCCCGAAATATCCCAAACCCCTAAAACCCTCGTCGGCTAAGTCCTAAGTCCTTGCCTGCCTTCTGCGAGTTCGAGACCCATCCATGCCCCGAGCCCCTTCTGTAGACCTGGGTTTAGGGCTTAGGGTTTAGGCTAGGGTTGAGAGGTGACTCTGTAGGAAACCTTGCCGGATGGTATCAAAATGGGGTAAGGTGGAGGGTGAAAGTAGGTTCTTGGTAGACATTCGACCCGGAAGTATATACTACTGTGTTACTTGGACGCATTGAGGCTCCTGATCCACCTCCCCGCAAACCAACCAACCCCTAAATCCCCAACCCCTATAGCCCTAAAGCTAAAACCCCTAAACCCCTAAAACCCCTAAAACCCCCTAACCCTAAACCCTAAACCCTAAACCCATAAGCATGAGGAACCAGACCGCGGCCTGCATGACCTACCTCGGGCGCCTGGGATATCGATGGAGTTGGTTTATAGCAAAACCCAGAAAGTTGGAACATCATCAGGGATTAGGGTTTAGGGTTTAGGGTTTTAGGGTTTAGGGTTTAGGGTACCTTCAAAGTAAAGTATAGGGAACCCCAGCACAGATCATCCTAAGTCCATGTTCCAACTTTCTGGCTTCCACGATAGGGCCCGGGCGGTTGAGGTTTCGGGTTTCGGGTTTTTGCGGGGGCCGGGGTTTTCTATCCGGGCCCCTTTCAGGGTTCTGAGTTCTAGGGGTCCACAACGGTTCTTTCGACTGTTAAGGGTTAAGGGCTTTCTAAACTAAACCCTAAACCCTAAACAATAAACATATGTTACAACGGTTCTACAAGGGGCCTCTTTGAGCTTAGGGCCTAGGCTGAGAAAGTGTTTACCGGATATGGGGTTCGGGCGGCCCCTGTCTACTATAGGGGCCTCAAGAACTACTTATATTTTTTTTTTATATTTTTTTTTGGGTGGGGAGGGGGGGGGGGCTCTCTGTAATATCATTATAGTATAATGGCCCCCTAAACCCCATTCTAATTATTAAGGCCCCTACGTGAGTTTCCATAAGCTCTACCCTCGTGACTTCCCGTGTCTGCTACAAGCATCATCCCGGACGATGGGGGTGAAATTGGAAAGAAGTTCAAATGACATCATAAGTCACTAGCAGCTTACAGCTGCTGTTTAGTTGTTCTGCTTGTTTTTTGGGTGTTCTCTCCAATTGTTCGCGCTAATTTTGCAAGATTGCCGGCTTTCTCACACTGGTTCTAAGTTTTCCCTGAACCCTAGACCCTAAACCCCTAAACCCCTAAGCCCAAGACACTAAACGAGTTCTCAGAAAGCTGGAAGGAAAGGCACGCGGAGACACTAAATTAAATTTTGACCCAGCTCCCAGCCCTGGCTAGTGCCCCCCGACCCCAGGCTAGAGCTTTGGGTTTATAGGGTTTAGGGCTTTAGGGGGTTTTGGGGGTTTTAGGGATTTTGGGGTTTAGGGCTTTAGGGCTTTACAGAGTTGAGGGGGTTTATGGATTTTGGGGGTTTAGGGGTTTAGGGGGTTTAGGGCTTTAGGGGGTTATAATAGAGTCTTAGGATCTAGATAGGGTTTAGGGTTTAAGGGCTCAGCCGGACCACAGAATGTAGTTTCCGTGCAGTTGCTTTCGGTGCTTGTCCGCGTTGCCGTCGTCTTAGTCCCAGTCGCAATCATCGCATCAGCAGTTGGTTCGGATGTTATGATTTCCGTTCGGGGCTTGTGTTGCTTCTGATTTCTGCTTTCGGACTTTCTTCCGATGTCCTTCGGAACCTCTGCTTGTGGACTTTAACAGTGATTGGAAGTCAGAAAACTTCCCTTCGCTGAAGTTCGAGAGAAACTGCGGTCGGGTTCCGGATCTATCGGGTCAGCGCATATATTGCAGGCTATCCGGCTAGGGTCAGGTATAGTCCGAAATGTCCTGAGGTTTGATTGCTCGGAGTTGTTCAGGGTTTAGCAGCAACTACCACGGTCTTTCGTGTTCCATCTTTTTGTTTTACAATTCCCCCAGCCCTCTTACAGCAAATCGCAAGCCCATGACAGTCCAAAACCAGCCGTGCGGCAGTAGTCGTCGAAGACTTTAGAAATCTCACAACTTGCTTAACATGCGCTTGCTGATCTAGCTGATGCCTCTGAGAAATCTCAGCCCTAAACCCTAAACCCTAAATCCCTAAACCCTAAACCCTAGAAAACCTAAACCCTAAACCCTAAAAAACCTAATCCGTCTCGTGTTGCACACCACGGGCCGCGCCATCTCTGCTCAAGCTCGCCAGGGCCCCTGACCGGACTTGCTGCGTGTACGTAACTGAGGAGCCGTCTCAAGCCCTAAATGCTAGATAGGGACCTAAACAATTACCAAGACTATTATTTGTGAGGGCTCCGTATTATCATGATAATATAATCATATACCCCCTCTCAAAACCCGATTCTAATGATTATGGTCCTTTTGTTAGACACCCTATCCACTAGAATCTCCACACCGTCTTCAACCTCCTGACATTGCTCGCAACCCGGTGCTTGAATAATTCGTAATGGATATATTCTACCCCTTTGCCTGATAGGTCGCTGTGATCTCCTTTACTAGTCCCGCTTTTAGGTCTCCTTATGACCTACCCCTGTGGTCCCGCTTATTTGTACCTTGGTCCACCCCATTAAACTTTATAGTTTACAACCCCAGTATAAACCTAAACCGTGGCCAGTCGGGTGAGCACCACCTTCGCAGCTCAGTCAGCCATGCGCCCGCAGCGGAGAAGCGGCCTTGCAGAAGGGGCTACCACCTTGATGCTTGGTAGGGTTTAGGATTTAGGGTTTGGATGCTCGTCTAGTTTACGGTTCGGGTTCGAGTACCTTTACTGAGCCCTTTGCGTGACTAGGATGCTCCGGCGCTTGCCAGAAGATTGGGACGCGCAGAGGATCGTGGAATGGCTTCGGGAGAACCGGCTCAAGCTCAACCAGATTGATTTTCTCTACGTTCCTTTCGATAAGCGGGCAGACTGCAACATCGAACTGGCTTTCATCAACTTTGTGGATCACTCCTCCGCCAAAAAAGTCTACAACATCATCGTGAGGCAGAACAGGGATGGCATCTGGGAGACCATAGTAAGTGCTGGAAACATCCAGGGGTGCCTTGATCGCACCACGTTTTGCGGTTTAGGGGTTTAGAGTTTAAGGCTGGGGGTTTGTGGCGGGTGTGGACCTATATGAGGAAACCAGAACAGGAACCCTAGCCAGGTAAGTTATTTAGGGTTGTGAGTTTCGTGGCCTGCCGTGCGGTCTACAGTCCACGTCCCGTCCGTAAATGCCCTAAACCCTAAACCTTAAACCCTAAACCCTGGAGGGTTCAGGGTTTAGGGTTTTTGTTTGTGGAGTGTCGGAGTACCCGAGCCACCTCAGCGCAAAGTCGGAGAATATACATGCTTAAACGGTAATGGGGTTAGGGTTTAGGGTTTAGGGTTTAGGGTACCTCTTCTCTATTTTGGGGGTTCCTTGTTATCATCATAGTATACTATACCTCAGCACTCTATTCTAATTAGTAAGGCCTATACACCCTAAGCCCTTATAGTAATTAGCCCTTCTTGAACCCTTTAAGGAAACCTTCAAAAGGAACCCTCCGAAGCCCTGTTCTACTTATTAAGGCCCCCACATTAAGCCAAGTCCTCTACCTCATGGCTCTGAAGCCAAAGCTTGGCCAAGAGTCCTTCGACCTTGCTCCCTGAAGACAAAATCCACAAAGCATAAGCCCTGGACAAAAAACACACATCCCAGGTTTGACTGGAATCTAGCCTACTTCCTGGCACGGTTTGGCCATCAGGGTGTTTGGGAAAAGGATGCTCCACTGATCTTCAGAGATGGCCGCCAGCTCCAGGACGGCTTTGAGGGTTTAGGGTTTAGGGTTTATGGCTTCTGGGAATTCGGGCTGACGGCTATCTGGGGATTTAAACTTTAGGGATCAGGGGTTGAGGATTTGGAGTTTTCAGTGTTGGGGTAGAGCGAATAAGGGTGGTTACCTTGCTCTTGCGGTTGCGTAAGGTCCGTTGAAGGGGCAACTTCCATGTCTACACTCCGCAGCATGCCACCATGAACAAGAATTTTTGGTCTTGCTGCACAGAATGGGGCTGCTTGCGCATTTAGAGACTGAGATCAAAACACATCCCTAGCGGACCTGGTAGAACGCATTGCAGAGTCTTGTCGGAACACAGCGAAAAAGCAGACGCGCATTTCGATGACTTAGGTGTTTGTCGATTTCTTGCGAACGATGGAGACAGGAGTTATCTAAGGATTCAGTAGTTCTGTGCTGGAAATAAGCAACATCCTGAAAACACAACAAGAAAGCAATCTGCAAATACAGAAAAAACGTGACAAGAAACGTGAGTCAGGAAAGCTGCTCAACAAAAAAGGGCGACACGGAAGGCACCAACAAGGCAAAGGCTTAGGGCTTGGGTCCCTGGGTGCCCCTGGGATACGACATTATGCCCAATCGGAGGCTGCCCGTTTCCCGCCCTGCTGGCCATTTCGGGCCCGCCACCCCGCCCTTTCGCGCGCCCCGCGCGTCGAAGCCCTTTCCACGGCGGCCTGGAGCTGCCCTCAAGGGTTTAGGGTTTAGGGTTATAGGGTAGGAATGAGTTGAGATTTGCCTGGTTTCGAGGGTTTCTGGCGACACCGAGTTGAGGTTTTTTGGATCTACGAGCGGGTGCGTTTCGAACCTAGGGAGGGGCGCCTGGAGGGGGAAGGGGGGCACATTTTGCGTTTTGCTAGGGAAATCGCAAAAGAAACGCAACAAAAAGGCAAAACCAAAACATCAAAAAAGCTGCAGAAGGTGTCAAAGGTGAAAAAAAGGGTGCCAGAACCGCGCAGCTTCAGCTGAGCAACGTAGCCAGAAGGTGACAAAACGGTGCCAGAAAAAACGTGCTTCCACACCCGCTTAAACCACCTCCCTCGCTCGCCCTCCTTTGCACGACGGCGCACGCCCGTGCCCCTGAACTTCAGCCCCGGACAGCCCAGCCCACCCAGCCGCCAGCCCTAAGCCAACGATAAGCATAACGACCTGTCAGCGCGAATGGCATCGATTTGTTCTGCCTGTTTATTGTTTTTTCGTCGGGTTTAATTCCGGTCGTTTTCGGGTTGCTCATACGTTTTCGGGGGGCTACATTTGGCTTGTTTCACGTTTGTTTTTAAGGGATACTACGAATCACCTTTGCCAGATGGCTTTTCTTCACCTTTTTAGGGTTTGCAACAGACACGAGAACTAGCTTGTGCGAACGACTTAATCTTAGGAGTTGTTACAGATTGTGCAGGTTTGTTGAACAGCAATCTCTGCATGCAAGGCATTACCTTGGCTCACTTTCCCTCTTAAAGGTCTAAGACCTAAGACATAGGTTTGATCTCTCAACCCGGTGTCTTCAAATAGTATCTATTTCTGGCTAGCTAGAGGTTTTGGGGTGGCAATACAAGCAACACCGGGCAATTACCCTAGGCATGCTCCGGGCACCGCGCCTAAACCCCAAACACAAACACTATAAGCCCTAAACACTTTAAAACCTACTCAAGGTTCTTGCAGAGTTTTTGTTTTTTGTGTTATAGATCGACTAGCTATAGAAGGATTTTCGGATGTATTTGGGATAATAGCAAAGAGAAGAGAGCGTGTGTGGTTGCCTAGGTCGACTCTGCCGTTTGTTTCAACCTTAATCTTCTAAGCGTGCATAACGCTGGGGCTCCAGATGGTCCGGAGGAGGTATGTATAGGTACCATGTGGGTGGTTGTCAAAATTATGGTCCCTTTTTGGGTCCGTAATATAATACGGCACCTAATATTTAGGGTACCCAAAAAGGGACCCTAATTTTGACAACCACCCATGTGCGGGCTGTGACCCAAACTTACTATCCGGCTTAATGACCTCCTATAGAATAAAACCTCCGGCTGAACGCTTGGACCTTTATTCCTTACGCTAGCAGTCCAACACGAACACACACAGAGACACACACACACACATGTGTGTGGGCACGCACGTGCGCGAGCGCAGGAGACCCATACATGTACCTGTATACCAGTTCTATTTGTACATTTCCTTCTGATATAGGTAGATAGATATAGGTATAGATACAGATTCAGATGTACACAGAAGGTGGCGCATTGCAGGCCAAAGTGTTGTAGCATTTTGTTTTCACTCTATAGGTTCGAGTCTTGCACATTCGTTGTTTCTATGTCAGTTGCATATATGCAGACAAAGCATAACTGGACCCACACAAACCCATGCTGCATTTACTGGTTTCAGTACCTGTATATATATATATATGTACATGTATACTATAGTGTATACATATTTGTTTGTTTATGTACATATATATATATATATGTATACAGACACATACACATATGTGTACATACATATATGCATATATATATATATATATACATATATATATATATGCAAATATATATATATATATATGTATAATATAATATTATATATATATATATGTGTATGTATGTATGTATGTATGTATGTATGTATGTATGTATGTATGTATGTATGTATAAACACGTACAGATGTATGTACATAGCATATACATACATATATTTACGTATTCTGGGTATGTTATTGTTCGTTTTTACTGGTGCCCCACATGGATACATCTACTTGCAGTGTACCTTTAAGTTAAGTGTAATAAGGCATGCATGCTTGGCAACAACATATTCTCGCATATAGATACCAGTGATGGCTTAACATGTATAGCTATACATATGTTAGATATGCATCCATTGGATAATACTTATCTCCAGTGACGGCTTCGTACCACTACCGTGACAGGTCAGCCACCAAATAGGTGCATACATCTTATGACGTCGAGCGAAAAAGACTTGTTGTAGTCGTGCTGTTTAAGGGATGGTCAGAAGTTACAACATGAAAAGCGGATGATGGATTCCCCAGAATACATCCAAACCTTGATACTGCATGGTGGGTGACAAACACAATAGTTCAGAGAACTCTGGTCCATGAGCAGAAGAGGTTGCGTGACCAGACGCCCAAATCTCTACTGCATGGCTGATTTTAGATGCATGGGATCCTAGGTGTTGATGAGAGCATATCCAATACCCTGATCCGTAGCAGCAGATTGCAGATGGCAAACCTGACAAACACCGCCTAGGTCATAAATATCTCGAACTCCAGTAAAACATGATGGGTGGCAAACCCAAAATCCGAAGCCTGACAAGAACATGGTGGGTGGCCAACGCTGCAAGCCCCTAAGCGGGCCGCTTGGGTCCCCGCTGATAAGGAATGGAATGATGCGTGTCAAGCTAGAAATCCTGGAAAGACAACTGATGGCGGGCCTTGTTTTGAGGTTGCAAAGCATGAAGACGCTGATTGGTCATATGCCCAGAGCCCAAACGGAAACAATGAGTGGCAAACTCGAATATTCTCAACAGGTGATTTGGCAGCAGGCTCCCAAATCTCGACTGCATGGCTTCTTTTATCACCTACCATTCGGTGTAAGAGGTTAGACAGGTTTAGGAAGGAACCCGCCATCGGTTTGGGATTTATACGCAGCGATCAGCCCCCCCCTACCCTTGAGAATCATTAAGACGTGTATGAAGCATCTTTCTTGTTTTAACGAAAACACGGGCCGGTATTCCGACGCAAGCTCCGTCAAAAAAGACATACATACACACAAAAAGGGCTCGAATACACGTATGGATCCATGTATACACAATATACATGAACATGTAGATACGGAATGAATGTCTGTGTGTGTATACTGGCATTTGCATGTATCAATATATAGAAAGATACATAGACAGGTATATTGGGTTAGATTAGTTTAGTTTAGATAAGTTTAGATCGACAGATCGATAGATAGATAGGTAGATAGATAGATCGACCGACAAGTAGCTAGATAGATGGATCAACAATTAGGTTGATAGATAGATAGGTAGGTAGTTAGATACACATAAGAATCATGCGGGGTGTGTACAATATATATATATATATATATGCATACATATATATATATATATATAGAGAGAGAGAGAGATACCAGAAGTAAACATATACAGAAGCAAATAAGTACATGACAATGTATGTACATGCGTATGTACTTTGAGTTACCTTCGCAAATTTACGAAGTTTTAAGCCCTAAGCACTAAAACCCCAAACCCTGAGCCCTAAACCGCTCTCTGCATTGGCTGGCCTGCGCCGTCGGGGCAAGGGCACTAGGTCAAGGCCCTGCTTAGACAAACCCCGAAACATCCCAAGACATGGGTCGTTGTCTAATTAGGGTTCCGTTTATAGTACGGCACCCTTCTAAACGGGACCCTAAAAGGGACCCTAAGTTAGTGAACTACACACAGAGAACCTGGACGAGAGCAGGACAGACAGGAGATCATGGGGGTTTATGCATCCCTTCCACCGGAGATCATGACGGAAGCTACCAGGTGTCTCGACTGAAATCCCAGCAGCCTCAACTCCCAGTCGCGAAAGCCCCCAGATCCTCAAAGCTAGGGCCCTAAACCGCTTAAGCCTGGAGGTCTTCCTTGTGCGGGCCTTATGGGACTGGTTGCTTCATCTTAAGATATCCAGCGATTGAAGCCTGAGCACCCTAAACTTCCTAAACTTTGAGAAAATTCAGCGATTGCAGCCATTGCTGTCTCTCAAGCACCCAAAACCTTAAACCGAGAAGGAAACTTAGAGGAGCATTATCCGAGCCATTCCGAGCCTGAGATCATGGACTACCCATAGGCCATAGGCTCCGTTATAGTTCCTTTTCTTGATGGTTGAGATTTGGGATAATATAGGGTAATCCCAAAAGGGAACTACTATGCAGCCTATGGGTAGACCGTCAAACTCAGATTTCCTCGCATCTTTCCGTCTTGCGGGAACTGAGATTCTCAGGGGTAGGGCTTAAATTATGGTTTAGGCTTTAGGGTTTTCACGAACCATTTCGCTTGGGAGGGAAGAGAAGGGCTTGGGCCTCGAGGCCCCCCCCAAAATTCAAAATTCCTCACCGTCGCATTCCGGCCATCGGCCATAAGGTAGTGCAGAGGCCAAGTTATCAGCTCCCAAACCCATGATAAACTTGAACCCTACGTAAACCCTGGATCAACGTCTTTTTTTCTGGGTTACGTTATCTTCTCACTTCCAAGCCCTGCCCCGAACTGAAAAATCAAATAAACAGCTTCATTTTGTAGAAGAATCCTAAATCCTAAACCCTAAACCCTAAATCCTGCACCCTAAACCTTTTGAGGTATTGTATTCCCTAGACAAGCCCGGAAGATCAAGCTTTGGTTAGCCTGGGATACTGGACCAGTAAGAAACTACCTGTAGTCTCCATGGTAGTTCCTGTTTAGTTTAGCAAATCTTATATTTCGAATCTTATCAGGTGACTCAAAAACCCTATACCCTAAACCGTATGCCTTAAACCCAAAAAGAGAGCTACAATGGAGCCCTAAACCCTAAACCCTAAACCCAAAAAAACCCAAAAAGAGAGCTACAATGGAGAGTATAGGCAGGTTTTGCAGCTCAGCGGAGTGCTTGGACTGTCAGGCTTGCCTTAAAGAAAGAACCTACCCTTTTTTGCCGGGTGCCCTATAAGTTCTCTATTAGGAACTACAAGAACCTACTAACAAGTAGTTCACGGTGGTGCCCATAATTCTAGATTCTAGAGTCTCCGGCGGAGCGCTTTGCGATTTCGTCTTTTATTCTGCTCTGGTGTTCAGTCCCTTACAGAGGGGTCGATCCTGAACCTTGCGTTCGTATGAGGAGCTTCTGACCTCTCAGATAGGGCTCGTGATGCTTACTTGCTCAAGTTCATCTCCTGTATCCTTAAAAACCTGGTCGGAATCGAACCCCGCTCGCAAAAACTCTTATGTACTGTAAGCCCGAAGACCCTAATTCTTGATGGTGTCCGGTTTGGACTTGCCTTTGCAAGGTTCGTGAGGGAAGAAAGTGCGGGCACGTTCCCTTCGCCGGGAAGCCGGCGTGCTTCGGCTGCAATGTAGGGCGGATATACATTCACCTTCCACCGGGTTCGGGCGTAGGGTTTATAGGTTTCAAACTGGTGGCTGCCTTGCGAGTAGCCTAACCGAGTTTGCTACCCCGCATCTGTGATGAAAAAGGGCCCAGCAACTAAATCCAAGTTCCAGGCAGTCATCTGTCCCTTGCAGGCCACAAGACACTTGCCTATAGTCTCCATAGTCGTTTCGTTTTTGGCTTTAGGTGTCGAGCTTAAGGCTTTGGGCTTAGTATAGGATCCTGAATACATACTAGGTTGAACCAAAACAAAGAACTATACTGGCGACTAAGCTATCTCACGACCCGGCACACGTTTTTCAAAACATTAGCATCCATATAAAGAGCCCTAGTAAAGACCCTAGGTTTCTTATCAGGTTCCTGTATTACAAGGTTTCATTATCGTTATGGGACGGTAGACATTAAAGTATACAGGCTGGGAGTTGGGACCGCAGCCCAAAAAACCCTCAAACCCTAAAATCTGAACCTTGAGCACTAACCCTACATCCCTAGTCTGCTTTCAAGCCCTCGAGTTTGGTTTTAGTGTTCGTAGGCGTGCTCTGAAAGAGCCGGGGAATGCTCGAGCCTCACACTGGGTATAGGCAGTATACCTTAAGAACCCAAAGCCCACTTTTCTGTAGGTTCTTATTATAAACCCTAATATGGGGATTCATAGGGACCCAACAAAAAAAGTAGGTTTTGGGTTCTTAAGGTAGGTATGGGGTTTGGGCTTGAGGGTTTGCCTCGAAATTTCCTGAAGAAACCTAGATGTTTAGGGCTCCTTCTTAGGACTTCCTTATATGGTTCCTTAAAGAGGAAGGATTTTTGGAGTAAGGTAAGAATTAGAGTTCTTTTTTGGGTCTTTACGTTTTAATAGTGTAGGAGGAAGGCATTGGACAGGAGAGGCCTTCCTTGGGTTTAGGGTTTAGGGTTTAAGTTTAGATTACCTATGACGGCTTCTCGGTGTTCCCAGAAATCAGGAGAAGCACAACTGTGACCAGGGCCCGGAAGCCCCACGCAAACCCTGAAACTGCCGTAATCCCAATGGCCCAACCCCTGAACACCTAAACGGTTTAGGGTGTACATAGGTAACCCGCAAGAATGTGGGCATCGTCCTAGCTGGGCGGGACGGGAATAACCTGGCAAGCCGCATCCCTCATGCGAGTGTCAAAGCCTTTAACAGCCGAATGCCTTATAGGATTACACAACGGTGTTCTAGCCAATCCTGTTGTTTGCGGGTGCTTTGTTCGACTGTTTTCCACAGTTTGATGTTCAAGACTCACGCGCCAAAAAGGGAGGTTTTAAGGGGCTCCCGAGGAAAACCCTGAACCGTGAAACCCCTGACGCTCCAAGCCCCAAGTTCCTTGTGACATTTTGTAAACCAGTCGAGAGCCCTCCCAACAGCTCCGATGCCAGATATCGTCTAGTTTAGGGTTTATGGTGTAGGGTTTAGGGTTTGGTCGCTTTTCAGACATTTGGACCCTTGTATACTAACTTGAAATGTCAACCCCAACCCTTCTCAATGCGTGGAGCCGTGCTCACCAGCGAGCAAGTAACACAACCCTAACGACCAAGATCCTAAAGCCCTAAACCTCCCAGAGCCAAAACCCTCAACCCTAAAGCCCTAAACCTCCCAGAGCCAAAACCCCAAAACCCTAAAGCCCTAAACCTCCCAGAGCCAAAACCCTAAACCCTAAAGCCCTAAACCTCCCAGAGCCAAAACCCTAAACCCTAAAGCCCTAAACCTCCCAGAGCCAAAACCCTAATCCCTAAAGCCCTAAACTTCCTCAGGGCCAGTAACAGCACCCGAAACGCAACCTGAAACTTCGGCCCCAACAGCATCCTGGAGCCCTGACCCCCAAGAGCAAGTATCAACATCCGAAGCCCAAAACTCCTAAAGCACCGTTAAACAACAACAACAACAACGACGACAACAACAACAACAACAACAACAACAACAACAACACCACCACCAACACCAACACCAACACCAACACCAACACCAACAACACCAACACCAACAACACCAACACCACCACCAACACCAACAACAACAACAACAACAACAACAACAACAACAACAACAACAGCAACCAGGGCTGTTAAGAAAACACGCCCGCAACCCGAAGAATCCTAAACCCC